TGATGGAGGTTTTCTTGGGGACTGGGATGATGGTGGAGCATTTGAAGCAGGAGGGGACTTTCCACAGCTGCAGTGACCTGTTGAAGATGAGTGTGAAGATGGGGACCAGCTGATCAGCACACACTTTCAGGCAGGAGTGGTGATGTCATCTGGGCCTGGTGCCTTTCTGATCTTTTGTTTTTTAAAGAGGCCACGCACATCCTTTTCACACATCGTTAGCAGTGGGGGGCTGGGAAGGGTGGTGATTGTCGGGGGAGCAGCTGCTGGGTCTGAGGTGGGGGGGGGGGGGGGGGGGGGTTGGTTGTCAAAGTGTTGTTTGTCAAACCTGCAGTATCTCAGTTTACTGAAAATTTTTAGGTAAAAAGCTCATTTGTTACAGTGGAGCTGACCAGTGGTCAGTCACTGAAGACTGTAACTGCACTGGGAAGGTGCCAGGTGTAATTGTGTTTCACTGTATGAGTGTGAAGCACTGTGCTACTGAAGAGGATGCATATGATTTGAACATTTTCTGATTAACAGAAGACTTGGAGGTAATTTGGAATATAGCTCACATCCTATGTTATTAGAACCATTTTAATCAAATTTCAAGGTTTAGGGGGGATTAAAACTATAGAGGACTAGCATCAAGTGCCTTGTAGCACATGATCACCACTGTGCAAAAGACTGAACTCATAAGTCTCAGGTAACAGTTGTTATAGCTACAGTATAGTTAATGTCCTTGAAGCTTTGTTCTTGCCAATAGCAGCTGTGTTTTTTTTCTTGTTAAACAGAGGCTGAACGGTGAGCTCCCTCTCAGTGCAGAAGAGTTGGAGAATGTCTTCGATACCCTTGATACTGATAAAAATGGATACCTTACCCTGGACGAGTTCTCCTCAGGCTTTAGTAGGTTTATATAATCATTCTGCTTGTAACTGTGCTTCTAGTATCATCAGTGATGGGAGTGTGATGCTTTGACTGTGCACTTAAGCTTTTGATGTTTCTAGGTGAGTTTTTATTCGGCCGGAAGGTTTCTGTAGTGGAAGGCATAGAGGAGAAGAATCCCTGTGAGAGCCCGCCAGAGGTTCTGTACCAGAGCTTGGCAAGAGAAGACGAGGATGAAGAAGAGAAACACTTTTGCATGCTTATGGAGCGCCTTGGAGCCAACAGTGTATTTGAAGAGTGAGTACTGTGCCAGTGTCTTTGAATACTTTGTCAACATTTCCTTTAAGTCTACACTATATTTTAAGTGGCTTAGCCTGGGGTTATAATGAGATGTGCAAACTAAAGAAGAGCTGGAAAAGCTGTTCCTGTACTCCCTCTGTGTGTAATATGTGCTCTCCCTCTCTGTAGTATGACTGCTGAAATATCCAAGTCTTCTTAATATGATTGCATTTGAAACATAGAACATTTTAAAAAACCTAAGTGTTTTGGAAGATGGTGTACCTTCAGTAAACAGCTGCAATTAAAAGTCCTTCACAAACAAATCTAAATTAATTATTACAAGTACTGTGAACATTCCTCTTATTGGTTTTATACACATTAAAACATTACTAGTAACTCTAGTTGAAGTCTTTTTGGACATTGCATTGTTTGGCTAAATGTAATTAATAGCAGGATCTCAGGAAATGCATGACTAGCCTCACCTTTAACAAACAACTCCAAGTTAATAACAGTAAGCAGTAGTTTACTTGCCATTTGCCCAATTTACTCAGCTTATTGACTTCCGCCTACCTGGATACAGCTGGAGATGACATTTTAGATCAGATCAGGTTGTGCAGCACTAAATGATATTGACATTGGCCATACTTTAAGGAAAAATGTTTGTAACTATTGAAAAGAGTTGAGGAGTTGTTTGACTTTCCTGCCTTATCATAGTTCCCAGGGATATTACATTGTTTCTTGTGGAAACATGATTACATTTATGTCATCACACAGTTTTGATGGTCTCAACTTATTTTAATGCAGACGTCAGTAATTAATTTGTTGTTTATATTCAGCGTTTTGAAGTTTTTAAAGTCTTTTGAGTGCAACCCGAAATGTGTTGGTCCCACAATAAAGTGCAAGTGTTGCTAGAGTTTAACCTCTTCAATTAGTTTGATCTCATCTGTGCAGTGGGTGAAGCTGTGCCAGAGGTTTTCGCTTTGCATTGATTGAAGAGCAGTTACAACAAGCGTCCAGTTTGTTCCTGTAATAATAAATAGATTCTTCAAGGCAAAGAACATCATGCAGACTATAATCTGGTACCTGAGCTGCCTCTGGGTTTGATTGTGTTGAATTGTTGCTGTGGTGTAACTTCCACTCATGTCCTCACCACACTATTTCTATTTATGTTCTAGAAAAGAATAATAAATCTTGAGTGAGACTCCACTGACAAAGACTGCAAATGTCATTAATGAAATTGGACTTAGTTACCTCTGATCCCATCTCCTCCTCCATTCTGTCTCATCAGTCCTGCTGAGGTGCGCAGTTTGTGGGCTCAGCTGCGTCGAGATGAACCACACCTTTTATCAAACTTTGAGGACCTCTTGGCCAGAGTGACATTCCAAATCCTAGAAGCTGACCAGGAGAAGAGGGCTATAGAGAGTGCTCTGAAAAGGTCAGGGCAGGACATCTTTGTATTTTTGATAATCAGCCAGCATGGAAGGATCAGATGTTGCATTTTAGGTCTCCACTGAATAATATTTAGTTGACTAAAATGAACAGTGAAGTGGCTTCATAATTAGTATGTCATTTAAAGATTTCTGTGTAACCATCCTCATCATCACAATTACACCATAATCATTTAAAGATTTCTGTGTAACCATCCCCATGCTTTGTTTTCTGTAATGATGGCTTTCATAGATGTGTTGTTGTTCAGCACTGTAATATAAGTTAGTGTTGTTCTAGTTGTTTCACTTACATGTATCATGTGAGGTAAACACTGTAAATAGCACATTATCACACCTGAATTGTATCTCTACAGGAAAACGGCCACATATGATGATGAGATCCAGCGCCTGTATGAAGAAATGGAACAACAAATAAAAACAGAAAAAGACAAAATTGTGCTGCAGGTACAAAGCTATTAGGAATGTTAATGTTTGTTGTTAATTCTTTAAAATACTGTACATGTTCTTCCTTCTCACCCTTGTACTTTAATCTTTATCCCTGCACTAAAGGACCATGAGCAATTTTTGTCTCGGAGTCAAGACCTGGAGCTGCAGCTGTCCAGCAAAGAGAATGAACTGGACCAGCTCTTCCTGAAACAGAGAAAGGTGAGATCTACTCACTCACCTAGAGTGCACTACAGTATTCTTAGTCTATTACTTAAATGCATGCTGCTGTTGTTCTGTAGGTAAGTTCAGCACAAGGCACATTAACATGATGACAATGCTTTACAAAAGCTAATAGTGATTTAGTGCCACTGTGCCATCAAGGCAGCTATTAATATATCATCAACTAACTATAAAATAAATATTTATGCCCAGTGTCTAAATATATGTGTGTATTCCAATACGTTTCAATACAAAACATCTATGAAGATTGGAAGTATTTAATGGTATTGAATGTTGTCCAATACATAATTGGGTTTACTTGCTAGAATAAAAAATTATACTTGATAGGTTTAAATATAAAGGCAACATTCCCACAGTCCATCTGTTGTGAAAGAGCAGATTGATGAAGCAGCAATATTTGTCTTTTAAAGCTCAGTTACTGTATATAGAGGTTTGATTTTGATACTTGTATCAGAAACAATTTAATCAGTGATTCTTAAATGAGCCAGCTCTGCATCAGCAGCAGCAGCAGCTTTTGTTGGTAAGTACTGATAGATGTTAATAGGTTTTGCCACATCTCCACTGGCAGACTTGCACTCAGGCTTTTAAGGCTAATTAGTGAAGTGATACTAATTCTGGTTGGGCCAACGGGGACTCTTCTTCAATTCACAGATCCTTAGCATCTCTAATCAGTACTGTATGTTAGCCGTTTACCAAATGTTCACTTGTAAGGGTGTCCAGGCCCTCCTCCTCCACTGGCACTCTGACTGCATCCCGTCCACCTGATCAGGCAAGGACCCTCCAACCTGTCCCCTCACCCAGTCTAGAGTATTAATTACAACTATTCTCATCTGTGTTTTATTTCTGAGACTGGTTTGGTCCAGTTGTGTGCTATTCCCATTGTGGCAACCAGTGTTAGGCTACTCTGTGCCAGGTCTCTGTTGTCCTCTTTGTCCTCTTTGGTTTTTTTGCTAGTTTTTTTTTTTTTTTTTTTTGTCTGTTTATTGTTTCACTCTTCAGGGTTGTCTTTTGTTTGAAGTCTTCTCACATTAAACCTCATGTTGAGCATTTCTATCCAGCTCACATCTCAGTCTCCTGGATTGTGTTACATTACCTGTTTGTGGAGAACTGTGGTCTATTACAGCTGTAAAAACATTTTATGTTCAAAGTGTTTATTTTGTCATATGTACAGTTAGGAAACGTGTTTCCCTGTACAATGAAATTCTTACTTTGCCGTCTACATGAATGCCACAAAACACAAATGAAATATAAAGTAGATAAATAACACAAAATCTAAGGCACTTTAAGCAGCAACAGATGCAGCAATATAATATAAAATATATAAGAATATAACAGAATGTATGCTACATGGGAGCAGCATGTGCAGCAGAGTCATTGTGCAATTA